GCACATAGAATATAAAATTTTTCACCAGGCCTGACAACTTTGCCAAATAAAATTTACTTTTCGTATATGTTCAGGGGGGCAGAAACGAAATCAAAAGTGCTAAAAATAATAAGTAAGAAGAAACATAGCAAATACAATAGGGACCTCCAGCGGTCGCTGGCTCGGTCCCTAATAAATAACTGCCTCTATGGACGACTTCTCAACAAGCTACTGAAGCTGTAGAACACTGAACAACAGACTTTTTACTTGATAAAACATACATTGTGCAACAAAACAACAAGAAATGAAACCTTTTTATAATCATAAACATCTTCTGGAACTCCGACACGAACTCTCTTGGGCAGTGGTGGTGGAGGTGAGGTGTTGAGTGTTGGGCGGCCTCTTTGTGCCTGCCAAAGAATGAGGCTGGTGGCAACCCCTGCCTGGAAGCTCCTTTGTTTCATTGGCTTTAGGACACCAAGTAGTTTACACTCATGGCGGTAGATCAACCATGCATTAACAAGGCCTAACATGATGGTTTGCCAGAACAGGTAGAGGTACCACCTCCGTGACCTCATGTGTACTTTGACCTTGCAACACATGCATCAAGGAGATCTACCCCTCCCATGAATGTGTTGTACTTCTTCACAATGTGTGGCCTGTTGACCTCCACAAATGCCTTGTCTGATTTGCTCCAGCGTTGAGCTTTGTCCTGCAGGTCCACTGCACAGAAGGAGGAGATCAGTGTAACAGATTTGTTGTCATACCACTTGACAATGACCATGCTTTCCTCTTCTCTCTCCACCCTGGCATCAACAGATCCTCTGCCTCTCTTGGCAAGACTTTTCTCATCTTCAAGCTGACATCCAGCCAAGCAATTGGCCCGCAGTGTTCCTACAAAGTAGATCTGTCGCCCCAGAAGCTTGAGGACCAGTGGTGCTGAAGAAAAAAGATTGTCAGCAAATACTTTGTAGTTTTGGATTGATGGAAGACTTTCACAGAGCTTGACCACAACATCACCTCCCATGCCAAGTAAGGTGGGTTTTTTTCCAGTGCCACCTTGGTACACAGAGGAGGAACAGTGACACCAGACTTTCAATCCCCAAGGATGAGACCATTTGCTCATCAATACAGTTGTGCTCTTCTGGGGGGATACAAACATATCCAGCCATGGACGAGTCTTCCAACACTTATCCCCAGCTTGCCTGTTTGACAAATCACTGTTGTCAGTGAAATGCAGAGATGCCAGCAGGTACTGAAAACGGTTACGTGACATGTTGTCAGCCACCATGGGACCTTGTGTTATTTTCCCAGTATGCACAATTTCCCGACAGTTGGCAACGACCCATGCGAAGGTAGAGGCCAATCAATATTTCCAGTTCTTTAACACTGGTGTTAACATTGTCAAGCATTTCTGGTGCTTTGAACTTTCTGAAATACTCCAGGGGAGTAAGAAGACTTTCTGGAGGTGTGACATTTGGTCCTTTGAATGTGCAGTCAGGGACTTCAAAAGGTTTCTTTCTCCAAGAAAATTGTTCAGTTCCTTGTTTTTTTTCCTTGTTCAGTTGTATTTACCTGCCCTGGGTTTGGTTGTGGTACTTCATCTAAATCATTTGGTTCACTGTTGTCTGAATCACCACACTCACTTGACTCATCACTCTCCATGTCTTCGTTACTGTAATTAGGATCGTCAAGGTCTTCATCCGAGTTATCTTCACATCCCTCAAACTCACTCTCATCTCCCGAGATAATCTCCAGTGCATCCTGAAGAGTTTAGCCCTCATTCCTTTTCATACTACAAATAAATAAATAAAAAATAATAAAAAACAGTTAAATTAAAATGGGACCAGCATAGGATAGTAAAATTATTTTTTTTACAGATATGCAAAAATTGTTTCATAACATATTTTATTAATACCTAAATAATTAGATTTTTTTGTTTGTTTATATATATTCAAATATACTTTAAATTGAACAAGAGGGAATTTATTAATAAGTGTTACAATTTGATAATGATTTTAATAGGTTTTTTTGTGTGAAAATTAAAATTGTGATGCACAAAATGATGATTCTCACACTAACTGTGAATCTAATCGCAAATATCTGTCAAAATAATCGCAATATTATGTTTTTATCATGTCGTGGAGCTTTACTTTAAAGGTAAATGAAAGAGCTCAGTACAGTTCACCTGACGAAGGAACATAAAGTCAATAAAGTGAGTACAACATTTTGGCACAGACAAGTCAGACAAGGGAGACAAACGGGACTGACATGTAAAATGGAAAACTGGTGCGTTACAAACACACCGCTCCACACCCAGTGGGATTAAGATGAAGCTTTAGTAATAGGGTGTAAGTGACAGGTCCTGTTTAGTGTTATATAACTTCTGTTTAATAATAGTTTTATATGCGGGGAAACAGGTCAGTGCTGCTATATTAAAATCCTCTGACATAAATATCATCAAGATTATCCCATTGGTCTTTCATCAATTACAGATCAAATTAATTATTTATGTGTCTTTCTGTGTGTGTTTAAATTATTATTAGACAAGTTCAGGAAGCCCTACATAAGCAGGGCATCAAAAAATTAAGTTAGGCTCTTATTGATCCTCTCCACGGAAATCTTTAGTAAAAGGCGAAAGATTTATTCGATCTGAAGAGAAACAAGAGCGATCTGATAATCGATAGTTCCTCTGATCGAGCTGATTGGAGCCAACAGCGCTTTGTGTTGTGGTGTTCACTGTCAAATGTTACTGAGACTAAAATCTAAACCCACATAAAGTGCAAATAAACAACCCAATAAATAAATCAATCACTGAGGACTTTTAATGAGACAAACGAACTTTTATTCGCCTCTAGTTCGCCGATCGCACGGTGGCGCAAAGCATGATGGGATTACGTTCTTACGTCCCGGTTACGTAGAATTTATATTTTAAATCTGTTATTTTGTTTGAATTTAAAATAATTAAATTAATCTCTCAATCAGAAGCACAACTGCACTGATACATTTATTAATTCAGACTGTTTGTATTTATACTTTTAATCAGCGGTTTGTTTTAGAGAGGAGACCGCGGCCGTTAATTCTACTTCCGGTACAAACCCGGAAGAAACTGACTACAACGACAACAACTGTGCTGAAGACTACAACTCCCATGATCCCTCACGAGTGATTGTTTTGATGTTTCTAGAATAAACTGTGATTATTTTGATTCTAGCGATAAGAAGAAATCCTTTATTTCTTAATTTTAAGAATCCTCATTATTTCTATAAAGTTACTGAACTTATTTTGATAAAATTTTACAATTAATTTATAAATAAGATAAAGACGTTTTGTAGTGCAGAACATAATAATATCATTATATACAGTAGTTAAACAACGACCATTTTCTCTCTGTTGGACTGACTTACTGCGTATTAAACTATATGTATTATATATTAAACTATATGTAGGATTTATTACACTGTAGCCTACTCACACTATATTATGTTAGTATGTTAAACAGTTTTATTACATTATGGACTATATTATATTTATATTATATAAGTATTAGTTTATCATATTAGGTTTTTATTTGTATTTAGTACAGGCATTATTTTCCTCCCCAGGACCAGTTTATAACTCTGATATGTATCTTTAGGTTTGTGAGCAAATACCTGAAGAACTAATGACATTTCCTTCATCCTCAGCTGTACTTCTCCTCATTAAATTCAGTATTGCTGTATGTTGATGGATATCTTTCAGTGCATTCACTACCAGCAAATAAAAACACAATGTTATGAACTCAGATGGATTCTGGATGAGCAACAGTGTGAGGGATTTAGAAATGTAGATTTTGTAGCAACTGCACCACCTGCTGACATATTAGAGCAACGGTTGAATTATTGTGTCTGTAAAGAGTCTTTGACACAGGAGGTCGTTGTTGTTCATTCAATCTGCAGTCTTTGGTCAGTCAACGGCTGTCACACTCAAACTTTAATACAAACTATATGAACAACTGTCGGCGGTGACATTGTAGTCTGTATATACAAACTGTTGCACTTTATTACATTTATAAACTTTAAAAAACAAACAAACAACCGGAAAGAGACAAATTAACAACAATAATATATGTGTGTGATATTCCTGTATTATTCCCTCAGAGACTAAAGGTGCATTCCAGCATTACTTAAACCGAGACTAGATTACACATTTAAAACAAACAATGTGATGATAATTAATTCAATAATTCAAACTCCTGGTGGTGGAGGGAGGATTTACTTATTGCATGACAAAAGTGCTGCATTCAAGTCTTTCTAAAAATGTACTTTAAAGACATAAAATGCAACATTTCCTCAATAAAATGTCTATAAACACTCGATCTGTGTTGTGTATTTTAATGAGTTGTGCACTGACATTATCTCAAATGTCTCCAACAATGTAAAATAAAATAAATTGACTAATTATCCTGTTTTAAAGACATATTTTTTACACTACACTTTTTTAGATCTTTGGTCGTTTTTTAGCTATATCAAATGTCTGGATCTTACGTTAGCAGAGGAACAAGCTGATTTTATAATAATAATAAAATAATAATAATGAGTCGTATACTTTAAGTATATTTAGATGCAAATATTTTAGTACTTTTAGTGACAAAAAACTGAATCCAGGACTTTTAACTTGTAACAGAGTATCTCTACAGTGCGGTGTTAGTTCTTAGATTTAAATAAAATCTTTCTGACTGCTGAATGTTTACTTAAACTACACATTGCTGACTTTGCCGTCTTAATTGTGAGTTTATTTGCTCTTGTAAAGTTTCCTTTTTCCTCTGTGATCAATAATAGTGTATCTTATTCTATCTTAACATCCACTCTATGATTATAATAATAGTTGTAACTAATTAACACACTCTACATTCTGCATAAGAAGTGGTTTTAGTTAAAATATTGTATAAAAACTAATTTATTATGATTCTTAAGTTGCAGAACTCAACACACTAGATAGAGATTAATTTATTTTAAGGTTTTCTTTTCACAAGTTTAGGAAGCCCCACATAAGCAGGGCATCAAAAAATTAAGTTAGACTCTCATTGATCCTCTCCACGGAAATCTTTAGTAAAAGGCGAAAGATTTATTCGATCTGAAGAGAAACAAGAGTGATCTGATAATCGATAGTTCCTCTGATCGACCTGATTGGAGCCAACAGCGCTTTGTGTTGTGGTGTTCACTGTCAAATGTTACTGAGACTAAAATCTAAACCCACATAAAGTGCAAATAAACAACCCAATAAATAAATCAATCACTGAGGACTTTTAATGAGACAAACGAACTTTTATTCGCCTCTAGTTCGCCGATCGCACGGTGGCGCAAAGCATGATGGGATTACGTTCTTACGTCCCGGTTACGTAGAATTTATATTTTAAATCTGTTATTTTGTTTGAATTTAAAATAATTAAATTAATCTCTCAATCAGAAGCACAACTGCACTGATACATTTATTAATTTAGACTGTTTGTATTTATACTTTTAGATAAATAAATAAATCTTACATTAAAGTTTCATAAAGTCCCGCCCCCTCACACACACACAGACTATAAACTGACACTGGAAGATAATGTCTCATTATTAACTTGTTCATTTATTTTTCACATTTCAGGAAGCCCCACATTTAAGCAGGGCATCAAAAAATTGCGTTATACTCTTATTGATCCTCTCCACGGAAATCTTTAGTAAAAGGCGAAAGATTTATTCGATCTGAAGAGAAATCAGAGTGATATAGTGACACAGACACTGAGAGCCCGCTGCCTTTAACGGGAACATGTACTTCATCAACGGTGTATTGTTGCTGCCACTAAATAAAAACCCTGAACAAACTGTTGGGGACAAACACAGCAGTGCTGATAAATGGAAACTTTGCGCTGGTTAACTTTGATACTTGAAACGAACCGTTGATCCGTTTATTAACGGCTTTTAACTGGTGGCGCAAAGCATGCTGGGAGTGGAGGGCTGAACGACCGTTAATTTCCGTTTGTTGTTAATTTGTCTCTTCCCGGTTGTTTGTTTGTTTTTTAAAGTTTATAAATGTAATAAAGTGCAACAGTTTGTATATACAGACTACAATGTCACCGCCGACAGTTGTTCATATAGTTTGTATTAAAGTTTGAGTGTGACAGCCGTTGACTGACCAAAGACTGCAGATTGAATGAACAACAACGACCTCCTGTGGTAACACAACACAATAAACTGCTGCTATCAAGGCCGGATTAACCTCTAAAGGGCCCAGGGCAGAGAGGGCACAAGAACAAGATCTGGTTATATCTCGCTTATATGTTGAACTGTCCGCCGGAGCCGTTGCGCTGCACATAATCTCTGCCCCTGGCTGCCTGTGACTGTGACGTGAGCTGAGACCCTCTCCTCATTGGTCAGCCCGTATGAGGCAGGTCAAAGGTGACGCCAATCAACGTGCACTGAGCAGGTCGCGTGACGTCAAGCGCCGCTACGCAACACAACTCAAACATGGAGAATCTCAGTGGGAGCGCCAAACGGAAATTAAAAAAGGAAACATTTAAAATATATACCGAAAGTAGGGAGTTTCTTCACGCTAGTAAACGTTAGCAACTGTTCTGCTAAGGCAGCATCCGTCAACGAGGACCGCTCAGCTAGCCAGGACACTTCTTCACTGCCGGCGCTAGCTAATGTTCACAGCCCCGAGAGCGAAGAGCCCCCCGGCGGCATCTTCAACCGACGGCCCGGGTTCTGCTGCGAGTGCGACCGGTGAGGGAAGCGGTGATGGGTCTCTAGTCTCACCGCCAGCTGAACCGCTCGTCGAGTCTGCGAGCAGCCCCTGTACGGTACAGGCTCCATGAAAATGCGGCACATTGTTTATTGTTGTTGAGAGAAAACAGGCAGATTTCAAACTGTTTATATTGCACTGTAACTGGATTGTCCTGTTTAATTCTGATTTCTGCTTAAAATGAGCTGAGGACCAAAATGCTACTTGATTCTAGGAGATTATGGATTTTTGTTTGTGTCTTGTCTGTGGACTTCCTCCGTGATGGCTCTATCAGTTCAATACATTTGTGTTGGGAGTAGGTGTTGTTAAATACATTTTGGATGCTTTGAAAGTGGTTGCCTATTTATTTTTTTGTGAAAATGGAGGACACTTCCTTCCCTCTCTATGTAGTGGGTCAATTTTGCCAGATTAAATTGATGCTGATGTGTTTTGTTTTCATAACATATGTGAGTGAGTGGTCTTGACAAGAGAACATAGCGGTGCGTTTGTAGTTCTATGAGCATTTGCACATCTGTACATCAAAATGCACTTGATGACAGTTACTTATTGAAGTATTGATTATATTTACTGTATATTACTGTAATTTATTCTGTATTTTGCCAGATTATAGCGATCCTGGGGTCGTGATGATGGGGCCCTTGAATATTGTTGCCCAGGGTACAGTGAAGTGTTAATCTGGCCCTGGCTGCTAGTATACTTTTTATATTCTATCAAATTACAGAAACAACAAACAAACAAATTGACAAAACAGATATCTTTAATTTTTAATATTTGACGTTATATAACTGTATAAAAATAAACCAGGAGTTCATAAAAATACAATAAAACATCCAGATGGTCAGGTGTCTGATGTCTGTGTATATATATAATTTCTCATACACACATTATTAATATTATATTATGGCTGCACTGTATATTTAGCCCTATATTTATGTCTTATATTAACTTTAAACTATTATACTGCTGTTTATATTATTTTATTATTAGTATAAAGACTGTAAACAAGGAAACAGAAATGTTACTTGATGTGTTTTGTTGTGATTAAATAAATAAATAAACAAAACAAACAAGTTGCCTAACTACTCCCTACTGCTTCTGCCTTAATCACAATAAATAAACTAATGCACAGTAATATTTTATAATACAATACAGAGCATAAATGAGTTTTTACAATCAGAATCAGGTTTATTTGCCAAGTAAGTTTTCACATATGAGGATTTTGCTTTGGTACGTTGATGCAGAAGAATCACAATCAAGCTGGAAAAAATATAAATAAAGATAAAAGATAAAAAAAGAGACAATAAAAAGGAGCCACTATATTCAAATATAAAGAGTGAACTTACTGGGAAGTCTGCAAGTTAGCAGTGTGACATATAATTATATTTACAATGTGCAAGAAGAAACCAACAGACGTTCATTAATGTAATGTTTATATATTCAGGGTGGGTTTCAGAGTCAGTGTCGGGGGAGTCCCGGGTCTTGTTGATGAGACCAGCTGCAGACGGGAAGAAGCTGTTCTTGTGGCTGGAGGTTTTGGTCCTGATGGATCGCAGCCTCCTACCAGAGGGAAGTGTTGTAAAGAGTCTGTGTGCAGGGATGGAGGGGTCAGCCACAAAGGCACACAATCCTGGCACAGGTTCCCGGGGAGTCCAGATGCTGGAGGATGAAGTGCAGAGCCATGTTTACTGTATCATCCACAGACCTGTTGGCTCTGTAGGTGAACATTTCATCCTCATGGTGGCGTTAGATTAAAAGTCCTCAGGTGACTTCTCCTGTTTGTCCAAAATCATTCATCTAATAGTGGTTGAGATATTAAATATTTTACATCGCTGTTATTTTTGTGAATTTAAAATAATTATGTTAATCTCTGTAATGGAAAATTTTAATACATTATGAAACATTTTATGTAAACACTTTAATACACTCTATAATAACCTCACTCTCATGAATTATAGTGCGTGCACTCTATGTAACCTCATGCTTATGAACTATTGTGCGAACAAAAATGTCTAACTGTTTCAAGGGTGCCCTCAGCACCTGGTACTTCTCCCACACGATGAATGTCTCAAATGTTTTACTGTCGCTATGGGAGGAGAGGATGAATCCTCTAGAGACTGGCTCCAGACATCTCCCTTTTGTTCAAGGTTATGATGTTCGTTAACATATCTAACTGTTATCTACTATGTACCACCTGATTTGTTTCTTTTTCTTCAATAAATAAGGGTGCAGCTCTGAAAAGGGAGTCCTTTTCATGCTAACAAGCTGAGAGGCTCACTCTGCGCAGAGTTACACCCGGGTGAAAAGACAAACTGATTGACTTTGTCTAATTCTTGCATCTCACATGAATGGGCTGAATTTAATTTCCACCACATCTCTCAATCAGAAGCTCAACTGCACTAATACATTTATTAATTCAGGCTGTGTTTGTATTTATACTTAATTATTAAATACAATGAATTAATATTTATTATGAACACAAGTTTCACAAAGTTAATCAAACACACAGCGTCAGTAAACTGCTGTTGTTCACACAGTCATCTTAGAAATTGGGAAATTACTTTAATAATATGAAAATAATATTATATAGTTCACTTTTTTATTTATATTTCACATATCAGGAAGCCCCACATTTAAGCAGGGCATCTAAAAATTGCGTTATACTCTTATTGATCCTCTCCACGGAAATCTTTAGTAAAAGGCGAAAGATTTATTCGATCTGAAAGAGAAATCAGAGTGATATAGTGACACAGACACTGAGAGCCCGCTGCCTTTAACGGGAACATGTACTTCATCAACGGTGTATTGTTGCTGCCACTAAATAAAAACCCTGAACAAACTGTTGGGGACAAACACAGCAGTGCTGATAAATGGAAACTTTGCGCTGGTTAACTTTGATACTTGAAACGAACCGTTGATCCGTTTATTAACGGCTTTTAACTGGTGGCGCAAAGCATGCTGGGAGTGGAGGGCTGAACGACCGTTAATTTCCGTTTGTTGTTAAATTGCTACAAAATCTACATTTCTAAATCCCTCACACTGTCGCTCATCCTGGGGCCGTTTCAGAAAGCAGCTGTAGTGAAAACTCTGAGTTAGTTAACCCTGAGATGAGGGAAACTCTGGTGTTTCGGTTTCACGAAGCCAGTTCAGTTTAACTCCGAGTCAGTTACCCTGGCAACATACTCCGTGAACCGAACCTGCTCGCTGGCAGGTTTTCTTCTTCTCACCCAGAGTGTCTCCTGCTCTTCAGTTGAAGCCTGCAGACTGAAGGTCGAGGCGCAGATACTCCGCAGAAATGTCCGTCGGGAGAGGATTATTAGAGCCCGACTGGATGTTTTATTATTCCCTGATGAGAACCAGTTTGAGCCTTTCCGTTTCTCTTTGTATAACATCGCTGATGCAGACCTTGTGTCCAAGGCAACTGTCTGTCGGGCTGTCCGAAATGTGACACTTTGAAACGGCTGCTATACACATTTGTTGTGTTCCCAAGTCACAGACCCACCGGACTGCAGGTATCAGTCTAAGCAATAATTAATGCATGTTATTAATCTTTGAGACTTGAAGCACTAATCAGTGAATTTAATATATTTGAGGGTTTCCAGGTGTGATTGGCTGCATAGCTGGCACTCACATTCCTCTCATAGCTCCTTCAATAAATAAAGGAGATTTCTGTCCACAGCATTAATGTACAGGTAGGCCTTAATAGTAGCCTTTAATATTCCAAATGAAATATACTTCACTATACAGCTAATTGCTGTTCTCCACTGTGAAGATCATATGTGATGCAGATAACATGATAAACAATGTGGAAGCGAAGTGGCCTGGGTCTGTGCATGACTCACGAAATGTTTCCAGATATGCCCGTGGTGAGTTTATATACAGTATATAGCTATATCCTATGATCAATATTTTGTTTCCTCCTATTGCAACTGAAACATTAAACTGTATCTTGTATTATCATAGGAGAGTTCGATGGTTACCTACTCGGAGACAGAGGGTACCCCCGCCAGCTCTATCTGCTGACCCCTGACCCTGACCCTGACCCTGACCCTGAGCCTGGCCCACAGCAACACTACAACGTGGCTCACTGCAGGACACGAGCCAGAGTGGAGATGACCATCGGGATGCTCAACGCCCGGTTCCAGTGCCTTCGTAGGCTCAGGGTCACTCCAGAAAGGGCTTGTGACATTATAGTGGCATGTGTGTTTCTCCACAACATTGCCACTATTAGAGGAGAACAATGTCCTACTCTTTCCCCCAATGATCCAGATAATAATCCTGACCCCCCCGGCTGATGCACGAGATGGAAGAGCTGTTAGAGGCGTGATATGCTTCAATCATTTCTAACTGACCCATCACTTCCCCAGTGTCAAAGAACGACAATATGCCTCTCATTTTATGAGCTCTTCTTTATTTCCTATAAAGGACAAATGTTGTACAGTTGTTAATCCTTTGTTGTTGAAACAATTAAAAGTCGCCCACCTTTAACTGATGGTGCAGCAGTTGTATTTGTCTTGGTGATCTGCAGCCTTATATTTTCCATTTCTAGATGTGATTTGTGATCGTAAATATACCTTGTAGAGTTGCTTCACAGGAAGCTATAGGAACATAAATGACGTTGAATTTCACAGCGCCACGTCTACTTAGTGTCATTGTAAGTTGTGGGTCAATGCTGAACAACATCTTACTGAGGTAAGCTGTGCTGTGGAGGTTGATGGACCTTCTTCTTCATTGTAATTTCCAGCATTGCTCTGTTAGAGAGAACGAAGTTGCAAGTTGTACTGTGGAACAACACTATTAACTGAAACCAAAGTTATTTAAAAAAAAAAAAAAAGGTGTAAACCTCAACAGGCCTCTCTGCATCTTCCCTCTCTGTGGCAGCTGATAAGGGGTCTTCATCATCCTCCTGTAATGAAACACAATGATTGTGTTATATTCTACCCATTATGACAAATCTGTGGAATATTAAGAGTACTTACAACAGCATGGAGGTCTGTTATGGCAGAAGAGACAGATTACATCAGTAACTGGTAGAAGATGAAGATTACCCAGAAAAGTGCCCCACCTAATTTAATTTTTTTTTTACAATAGTGTGCAGGTCCCATCACAATCTTTCAAACTCTGAGTCACCTTAAAATAGATTGATATCTATTAATATAATTGTTGAATGAGTGGAACATTCAAGACAAAACATTTCTTTTTTTCTCCAATAAATACTCACACATTGACTCGGTCAGCAATTTTCTGCCACGCGAGCTCCCGCTCTTTTGCTGCTGCCACAGTATTGCTTTTGTTTTTAAATATATATGCTCACTTTCTGCATATGCGGTCACTAATATTTCCAACTCCACTGGGAGGAAGAAGGAGGATCGAGGCTTTTTGTCACTTGTTGCCACGGTGAATCGTGTTATCTGTGTACCATTGATGAGGGCTTTTTATATCCTCATGCACGGGCTTCACTCTGGCTTACCTTGACTCAGAGTTGATTGAACTAAGTGTTATCACCTGTTCTGAAACCAAAAACTCAGAGTTTGACAGCTCAGAGTTGGTCAACCCAGAGTTAAGGTTTTAAGTCAGAGTTTGTTAAACCTGCTTTCTGAAACGGGACCCTGAAGTCCAGAATCCATCTGAGTTCATAACATTGTGTTTTTATTTGCTGGTAGTGAATGCACTGAAAGATATCCATCAACATACAGCAATACTGAATTTAATGAGGAGAAGTACAGCTGAGGATGAAGGAAATGTCATTAGTTCTTCAGGTATTTGCTCACAAACCTAAAGATACATATCAGAGTTATAAACTGGTCCTGGGGAGGAAAATAATGCCTGTACTAAATAAAAACAATCTGTGTAATAGTTGAGGAGACCTAATATGATTAACTACTATTTATATAATATAAATATAATATAGTCCATAATGTAATAGAACAGTATAACATATTAACATAATATAGTGCGGGCTATATAATATGGTATGAGTATGCTATATATAATAAATATAGTATAATAAGTAGTAAGTCAGTCCAACAGTACAATGGTTGTTGTTTGACTACTTTATATGATGATCATATTATTATATTATTTTCTGATTTGCAAAACATCTCCATCTTATTAATAAATCAATTCTCATTTAATAAGTTCAGTAACTTTATAGAAATGATGTTGATGCTCTTGAACCAAATAAATAATCACAGTTTATTCTAGAAACATCAAAACAATAACTTGTGAGGGATCATGGGAGTTGTAGTCTTCAGCACCGTTGTTGTCGTTGTAGCAGAGAATGTCTACACCGTTGATGAAGTACATGTTCCCGTTAAAGGCAGCGGGCTCTCAGTGTCTGTGTCACTATATCACTCTGATTTCTCTTCACATCGAATAAATCTTTCGCCTTTTACTAAAGATTTCCGTGGAGAGGATCAATAAGAGTATAACGCAATTTTTAGAGGCCCTGCTTAAATGTGGGGCTTCCTGATATGTAAAAATAAATAAAGAAAGGAATTTATTTAATTTAATGTATTGTTATTTTTATATACAGTATACGCCACTTATTTCATGAGTAATAAGATAACATGAAATTGACTTTATTGATCCCACACTACCTCCACAAACAACACAATATATGAGAAACATACACATTAAATAAAGACAGAATAGACAAATGATATAGCCTGGTTTGATTTTACTCTCTGATAAAACACTTCTCTGTTCACTGAATGCTGCTCGTTAATGTGTGAGAATATAAAAAGTATACTAGCAGCAGTTTATTGTGTTGTGTTACCACAGGAGGTCGTTGTTGTTCATTCAATCTGCAGTCTTTGGTCAGTCAACGGCTGTCACACTCAAACTTTAATACAAACTATATGAACAACTGTCGGCGGTGACATTGTAGTCTGTATATACAAACTGTTGCACTTTATTACATTTATAAACTTTAAAAAACAAACAAACAACCGGGAAGAGACAAATGAACAACAAACGGAAATTAACGGTCGTTCAGCCCTCCACTCCCAGCATGCTTTGCGCCACCAGTTAAAAGCCGTTAATAAACGGATCAACGGTTCGTTTCAAGTATCAAAGTTAACCAGCGCAAAGTTTCCATTTATCAGCACTGCTGTGTTTGTCCCCAACAGTTTGTTCAGGGTTTTTATTTAGTGGCAGCAACAATACACCGTTGATGAAGTACATGTTCCCGTTAAAGGCAGCGGGCTCTCAGTGTCTGTGTCACTATATCACTCTGATTTCTCTTCAGATCGAATAAATCTTTCGCCTTTTACTAAAGATTTCCGTGGAGAGGATCAATAAGAGTATAACGCAATTTTTAGATGCCCTGCTTAAATGTGGGGCTTCCTGATATGTGAAATATAAATAAAAAAGTGAACTATATAATATTATTTTCATATTATTAAAGTAATTTCCCAATTTCTAAGATGACTGTGTGAACAACAGCAGTTTACTGACACTGTGTGTTTGATTAACTTTGTGAAACTTGTGTTCATAATAAATATTAATTCATTGTATTTAATAATTAAGTATAAATACAAACACAGCCTGAATTAATAAATGTATTAGTGCAGTTGAGCTTCTGATTGAGAGATGTGGTGGAAATTAAATTCAGCCCATTCATGTGAGATGCAAGAATTAGACAAAGTCAATCAGTTTGTCTTTTCACCCGGGTGTAACTCTGCGCAGAGTGAGCCCCTCAGCTTGTTGAAAGGACTCCCTTTTCAGAGCTGCACCCTTATTTATTGAAGAAAAAGAAACAAATCAGGTGGTACATAGTAGATAACAGTTAGATATGTTAACGAACATCATAACCTTGAACAAAAGGGAGATGTCTGGAGCCAGTCTCTAGAGGATTCATCCTCTCCTCCCATAGCGACAGTAAAACATTTGAGACATTCATCGTGTGGGAGAAGTACCAGGTGCTGAGGGCACCCTTGAAACAGTTAGACATTTTTGTTCGCACAATAGTTCATAAGCATGAGGTTACATAGAGTGCACGCACTATAATTCATGAGAGTGAGGTTATTATAGAGTGTATTAAAGTGTTTACATAAAATGTATCATAATGTATTACAATTTCCATTACAGAGATTAACATAATTATTTTAAATTCACAAAAATAACAGCGATGTAAAATATTTAATATCTCAACCACTATTAGATGAATGATTTTGGACAAACAGAAGAAGTCACCTGAGGACTTTTAATCTAACGCCACCATGAGGATGAAATGTTCACCTACAGAGCCAACAGGTCTGTGGATGATACAGTAAACATGGCTCTGCACTTCATCCTCCAGCATCTGGACTCCCCGGGAACCTGTGCCAGGATTGTGTGCCTTTGTGGCTGACCCCTCCATCCCTGCACACAGACTCTTTACAACACTTCCCTCTGGTAGGAGGCTGCGATCCATCAGGACCAAAACCTCCAGCCACAAGAACAGCTTCTTCCCGTCTGCAGCTGGTCTCATCAACAAGACCCGGGACTCCCCCCGACACTGACTCTGAAACCCACCCTGAATATATAAACATTACATTAATGAACGTCTGTTGGTTTCTTCTTGCACATTGTAAATATAATTATATGTCACACTGCTAACTTGCAGACTTCCCAGTAAGTTCACTCTTTATATTTGAATATAGTGGCTCCTTTGTATTGTCTCTTTTTTTATCTTTTATCTTTATTTATATTTTTTCCAGCTTGATTGTGATTCTTCTGCACCAACGTACCAAAGCAAAATCCTCATATGTGAAAACTTACTTGGCAAATAAACCTGATTCTGATTTTAAAAACTCATTTATGCTCTGTATTGTATTATAAAATATTACTGTGCATTAGTTTATTTATTGTGATTAAGGCAGAAGCAGTAGGGAGTAGTTAGGCAACTTTTTTGTTTGTTTTGTTTACTTATTTATTTAATCACAACAAAACACATCAAGTAACATTTCTGTTTCCTTGTTTACAGTCTTTATACTGATAATAAAATAATATAAACAGCAGTATAATAGTTTAAAGTTAATATAAGACATAAATATAGGGCTAAATATACAGTGCAGCCATAATATAATATTAATAATGTGTGTATGAGAAATTATATATATACACAGACATCAGACACCTGACCATCTGGATGTTTTATTGTATTTTTATGAACTCCTGGTTTATTTTTATACAGTTATATAACGTCAAATATTAAAAATTAAAGATATCTGTTTTGTCAATTTGTTTGTTTGTTGTTTCTGTAATTTGATAGAATATAAAAAGTATACTAGCAGCCAGGGCCAGATTAACACTTCACTGTACCCTGGGCAACAATATTCAAGGGCCCCATCATCACGACCCCAGGATCGCTATAATCTGGCAAAATACAGAATAAATTACAGTAATATACAGTAAATATAATCAATACTTCAATAAGTAACTGTCATCAAGTGCATTTTGATGTACAGATGTGCAAATGCTCATAGAACTACAAACGCACCGCTATGTTCTCTTGTCAAGACCACTCACTCACATATGTTATGAAAACAAAACACATCAGCATCAATTTAATCTGGCAAAATTGACCCACTACATAGAGAGGGAAGGAAGTGTCCTCCATTTTCACAAAAAAAATAAATAGGCAACCACTTTCAAAGCATCCAAAATGTATTTAACAACACCTACTCCCAACACAAATGTATTGAACTGATAGAGCCATCACGGAGGAAGTCCACAGACAAGACACAAACAAAAATCCATAATCTCCTAGAATCAAGTAGCATTTTGGTCCTCAGCTCATTTTAAGCAGAAATCAGAATTAAACAGGACAATCCAGTTACAGTGCAATATAAACAGTTTGAAATCTGCCTGTTTTCTCTCAACAACAATAAACAATGTGCCGCATTTTCATGGAGCCTGTACCGTACAGGGGCTGCTCGCAGACTCGACGAGCGGTTCAGCTGGCGGTGAGACTAGAGACCCATCACCGCTTCCCTCACCGGTCGCACTCGCAGCAGAACCCGGGCCGTCGGTTGAAGATGCCGCCGGGGGGCTCTTCGCTCTCGGGGCTGTGAACATTAGCTAGCGCCGGCAGTGAAGAAGTGTCCTGGCTAGCTGAGCGGTCCTCGTTGACGGATGCTGCCTTAGCAGAACAGTTGCTAACGTTTACTAGCGTGAAGAAACTCCCTACTTTCGGTATATATTTTAAATGTTTCCTTTTTTAATTTCCGTTTGGCGCTCCCACTGAGATTCTCCATGTTTGAGTTGTGTTGCGTAGCGGCGCTTGACGTCACGCGACCTGCTCAGTGCACGTTGATTGGCGTCACCTTTGACCTGCCTCATACGGGCTGACCAATGAGGAGAGGGTCTCAGCTCACGTCACAGTCACAGGCAGCCAGGGGCAGAGATTATGTGCAGCGCAACGGCTCCGGCGGACAGTTCAACATATAAACGAGATATAACCAGATCTTGTTCTTGTGCCCTCTCTGCCCTGGGCCCTTTAGAGGTTAATCCGGCCTTGATAGCAGCAGTTTATTGTGTTGTGTTACCACAGGAGGTCGTTGTTGTTCATTCAATCTGCAGTCTTTGGTCAGTCAACGGCTGTCACACTCAAACTTTAATACAAACTATATGAACAACTGTCGGCGGTGACATTGTAGTCTGTATATACAAACTGTTGCACTTTATTACATTTATAAACTTTAAAAAACAAACAAACAACCGGAAAGAGACAAATTAACAACAAACGGAAATTAACGGTCGTTCAGCCCTCCACTCCCAGCATGCTTTGCGCCACCAGTTAAAAGCCGTTAATAAACGGATCAACGGTTCGTTTCAAGTATCAAAGTTAACCAGCGCAAAGTTTCCATTTATCAGCACTGCTGTGTTTGTCCCCAACAGTTTGTTCAGGGTTTTTATTTAGTGGCAGCAACAATACACCGTTGATGAAGTACATGTTCCCGTTAAAGGCAGCGGGCTCTCAGTGTCTGTGTCACTATATCACTCTGATTTCTCTTCAGATCGAATAAATCTTTCGCCTTTTACTAAAGATTTCCGTGGAGAGGATCAATAAGAGTATAACGCAATTTTTAGATGCCCTGCTTAAATGTGGGGCTTCCTGATATGTGAAAAATAAATAAACAAGTTAATAATGAGACTTTATCTTCCAGTGTCAGTTTATAGTCTGTGTGTGTGTGAGGGGGCGGGGCTTTATGAAACTTTAATGTAAGATTTATTTATTTATCTAAAAGTATAAATACAAACAGTCTGAATTAATAAATGTATCAGTGCAGTTGTGCTTCTGATTGAGAGATTAATTTAATTATTTTAAATTCAAACAAAATAACAGATTTAAAATATAAATTCTACGTAACCGGGACGTAAGAACGTAATCCCATCATGCTTTGCGCCACCGTGCGATCGGCGAACTAGAGGCGAATAAAAGTTCGTTTGTCTCATTAAAAGTCCTCAGTGATTGATTTATTTATTGGGTTGTTTATTTGCACTTTATGTGGGTTTAGATTTTAGTCTCAGTAACATTTGACAGTGAACACCACAACACAAAGCGCTGTTGGCTCCAATCAGGTCGATCAGAGGAACTATCGATTATCAGATCGCTCTTGTTTCTCTTCAGATCGAATAAATCTTTCGCCTTTTACTAAAGATTTCCGTGGAGAGGATCAATAAGAGTCTAACTTAATTTTTTGATGCCCTGCTTATGTGGGGCTTCCTGAACTTGTCAAAAGAAAACCTTAAAATAAATTAATGTCTATCTAGTGTGTTGAGTTCTGCAACTTAAGAATCATAATAAATTAGTTTTTACACAATATTTTAACTAAAGCCACTTCTTATGCAGAATGTAGAGTGATTTAATTAGTTACAAATATTATTATAATCATAGAGTGGATGTTAAGATAGAATAAGATACACTATTATTGATCACCAGAGGAAAAAGGAAACTTTACAAGAGCAAATAAACTCACAATTACAAGACGGCAAAGTCAGCAATGTGTAGTTTAAGTAAACATTCAGCAGTCAGAAAGATTTTATTTAAATCTAAGAACTAACACCGCACTGTAGAGATACTCTGTTACAAGTTAAAAGTCCTGGATTCAGTTTTTTGTCACTAAAAGTACTAAAATATTTGCATCTAAATATACTTAAAGTATACGACTCATTATTATTATTTTATTATTATTATAAAATCAGCTTGTTCCTCTGCTAACGTAAGATCCAGACATTTGATATAGCTAAAAAACGACCAAAGATCTAAAAAAGTGTATTGTAAAAAATATGTCTTTAAAACAGGATAATTAGTCAATTTATTTTATTTTACATTGTTGGAGACATTTGAGATAATGTCAGTGCACAACTCATTAAAATACACAACACAGATCGAGTGTTTATAGACATTTTATTGAGGAAATGTTGCATTTTATGTCTTTAAAGTACATTTTTATAAAGACTTGAATGCAGCACTTTTGTCATGCAATAAGTAAATCCTCCCTCCACCACCAGGAGTTTGAATTATTGAATTAATTATCATCACATTGTTTGTTTTAAATGTGTAATCTAGTCTCGGTTTAAGTAATGCTGGAATGCACCTTTAGTCTCTGAGGGAATAATACAGGAATATCACACACATATATTATTGTTGTTCATTTGTCTCTTTCCGGTTGTTTGTTTGTTTGTTTTTAAAGTTTATAAATGTAATAAAGTGCAACAGTTTGTATATACAGACTACAATGTCACCGCCGACAGTTGTTCATATAGTTTGTATTAAAGTTTGAGTGTGACAGCCGTTGACTGACCAAAGACTGCAGATTGAATGAACAACAACGACCTCCTGTGTCAAAGACTCTTTACAGACACAATAATTCAACCGTTGCTCTAATATGTCAGCAGGTGGTGCAGTTGCTACAAAATCTACATTTCTAAATCCCTCACACTGTTGCTCATCCAGAATCCATCTGAGTTCATAACATTGTGTTTTTATTTGCTGGTAGTGAATGCACTGAAAGATATCCATCAACATACAGCAATACTGAATTTAATGAGGAGAAGTACAGCTGAGGATGAAGGAAATGTCATTAGTTCTTCAGGTATTTGCTCACAAACCTAAAGATACATATCAGAGTTATAAACTGGTCCTGGGGAGGAAAATAATGCCTGTACTAAATACAAATAAAAACCTAATATGATAAACTAATACTTATATAATATAAATATAATATAGTCCATAATGTAATAAAACTGTTTAACATACTAACATAATATAGTGTGAGTAGGCTACAGTGTAATAAATCCTACATATAGTTTAATATATAATACATATAGTTTAATATGCAGTAAGTCAGTCCAACAGAGAGAAAATGGTCGTTGTTTAACTACTTTATATAATGATATTATTATGTTCTGCACTACAAAACGTCTTTATCTTATTTATAAATTAATTGTAAAATTTTATCAAAATAAGTTCAGTAACTTTATAGAAATAATGAGGATTCTTAAAATAAAGAAATAAAGGATTTCTTCTTATCGCTAGAATCAAAATAATCACAGTTTATTCTAGAAACATCAAAACAATCACTCGTGAGGGATCATGGGAGTTGTAGTCTTCAGCACCGTTGTTGTCGTTGTAGTCAGTTTCTTCCGGGTTTGTACCGGAAGTAGAATTAACGGCCGCGGTCTCCTCTCTAAAACAAACCGCTGATTAAAAGTATAAATACAAACAGTCTGAATTAATAAATGTATCAGTGCAGTTGTGCTTCTGATTGAGAGATTAATTTAATTATTTTAAATTCAAACAAAATAACAGATTTAAAATATAAATTCTACGTAACCGGGACGTAAGAACGTAATCCCATCATGCTTTGCGCCACCGTGCGATCGGCGAACTAGAGGCGAATAAAAGTTCGTTTGTCTCATTAAAAGTCCTCAGTGATTGATTTATTTATTGGGTTGTTTATTTGCACTTTATGTGGGTTTAGATTTTAGTCTCAGTAACATTTGACAGTGAACACCACAACACAAAGCGCTGTTGGCTCCAATCAGGTCGATCAGAGGAACTATCGTTTATCAGATCACTCTTGTTTCTCTTCAGATCGAATAAATCTTTCGCCTTTTACTAAAGATTTCCGTGGAGAGGATCAATAAGAGCCTAACTTAATTTTTTGATGCCCTGCTCATGTGGGGCTTCCTGAACTTGTCAAAAGAAAACCTTAAAATAAATTAATGTCTATCTAGTGTGTACCTTCTGCAACTTAAGAATCATAATAAATTAGTTTTTATACAATATTTTAACTAAAACCACTTCTTATGCAGAATGTAGAGTGATTTAATTAGTTACAAATATTATTATAATCATAGAGTGGATGTTAAGATAGAATAAGATACACTATTATTGATCACCAGAGAAAAAGGAAACTTTACAAGAGCAAATAAACTCACAATTACAAGACGGCAAAGTCAGCAATGTGTAGTTTAAGTAAACATTCAGCAGTCAGAAAGATTTTATTCAAATCTAAGAACTAACACCGCACTGTAGAGATACTCTGTTACAAGTTAAAAGTCCTGGATTCAGTTTTTTGTCACTAAAAGTACTAAAATATTTACATCTAAATATACTTAAAGTATACGACTCATTATTATTTTATCTTTCGCCTTTTACTAAAGATTTCCGTGGAGAGGATCAATAAGAGTTTAACTTAATTTTTTGATGCCCTGCTTATGTGGGGCTTCCTGAACTTGTCTAATAATAATTTAAATTAAAATATTGTCAATATGATATTGTTTACATTATTCATGTTATATACATTTTATTCTGGAAGTTAAGATTAATAAATAAGTTATTTACATATTTCATCAGTCATAAAGTACTCTGATTCTTTTGCTTAAATAGCACGATACTCTGTTACAAGTTGAAGTAAATAAACTTAAAGTCTATTATTGATTACAACCTTTACAAACACTGAATAAAACAGTTTTACCTTAAAAATCAGTGTTTCAGCTGCTGACGTAAGATCCAGACGTCTGATATAGCTTTAAACGTTTGTAAAAATATGTCTTTCAAACAGGATAATAAGTCAATTTATTTTATTTTACATTGTTGGAGACATTTGAGATAATGTCAGTGCACAACTCATTAAAATACACAACACAGATCGAGTGTTTATAGACATTTTATTGAGGAAATGTTGCATTTTATGTCTTTAAAGTACATTTTTAGAAAGACTTGAATGCAGCACTTTTGTCATGCAATAAGTAAATCCTCCCTCCACCACCAGGAGTTTGAATTATTGAATTAATAATTAAAGTTTTTGTTTTAAATGTGTAATATTACATTTTAAAGTGACTGCTTGAGTTTAAATCTAGTCTCCGCTTAAGTAATGCTGGAATGCACCTTTAATCTCTGAGGGAATAATACAGGAATATCACACACACACACACACTCACACACACACACACACACACACACACACACACACAGATATGCAGTGTTGCCCCAGAGGAACTTCATGAGCGTCCAGGCCATTAACAGATGCAGTGAAGCCCTTTGAGAAAGACTTCCTGCCCTTCCTCCCCGGTTCCTCCCCGAGCTCCTCCCGGTTAAAACGTGACACACATCAGTTGTGTGACAGGTCACGTGACGGGCCGTAGCATTGATCCGGAAGGAGGGGAGGGGAGGGGAAGAGAGGGAGGTGAGGGGAGGGAGAGGAGGGAGAGGAGGAGGAGGAGGAGGGGGGGGGTGGCTGATGTTGCCGAGAAACTGCGTCAGGTCAACCAGAGACAGCCTGAATCATACAGGAAGCTCTGAGACTGAGCTTCAAAGTAAAGCACAATGTTTTATGTTTCTAGTTGTTTTGTTACACAGGAGTCATAAATAATCTGTTTCCCTTCACCTTGCATTAATCAGTGTTTTCAGCTCTGGATCAAATGTGTGATATACATGAGGTCAGAGAATTATCACCTAAAATCTGCAGCTTTATTCAGCTTTTGAGTCTTTTTGAGCTCCACGTTAGAGTTTCTCGTCTGTTAGTTTGACAAATAAGTCATTTTTTAATGCTAATGAGACCATAAAGGCTAATTAATCGCATTTAGATTTCAAAAACAACTTGATCACAATAACATTTAATCTACAGACCTTATAGATAATGAATTTATTTGGGCATAGAGAGAAAAACCAACACATCCATTCCCACCAATGCGATGGCTAAAACCAGCTACACAACGAGGTCCAGCATGTGATATTAAAGATAATACTATTAGACCACTTGTTCTCAAACTATTCTGTTAGCTGCCTCTAGTTGTATGTGAAGTTTAATGGAATAAATTAATTTAAAAACAAAACAATACATTTAGTACATTTAAATACTGGAGTAAAGTACAAGTAGCTCAAAATAGTACTTAAATACTTGAATTTATTTAGTTGCTTTCCACCACTATTAAACAGAGTACACCAGAATAACACTTAATATGATTAACTCGTGATACTTACTATGAGGTAGCTGAAAATGTAGATTAAAATAAGATTATCTCTTCCTGTAATATTCAGTTTCAATATCAACCTGCTGCGTACTCACATTCACACACTGAGCGCACGCACACATCGATAATTACAAGTGATTGTGGCTCCAAACAGGAACTATTAGGAAGTGTCAACAATAAATAATGTTCTCCTGCCTCTGTAATAGTGTCGGTCATAATGATGGTACTCGGGCAGCCTGAGAACTGGTTCCAGTTGAGAACCGGTTTCAAACTGTCCAATCCATCGGAATCGTATGTCTCCGAGTTCAGCAATTATTGATGTCCAAAGCATGGCTTCATTTCCAGCTGGTTGTTGTAATGTCTGCAAAAGGATTTAATTTCAGTAAGGGTGGAAAACACCGGCAACATGCTGAAACACCGTTAAATATCCAGGAATATCATTTATTTGAGACTCGATTTAAGACTCTGCGCTCTCGTTGATGAACAGGATTGCCTTCGGGGGATTAATCGACACTATTTAGGTGCAGATAAAACACGGTTAATTGTCGATGGTGAGGTTTTTTTCCCCAGTAGGTTTGGTTAAGTTTGTATACAGAAATAATCTCTCAATCATGGTTTATAACCCCCTGGAAGTTTTAATGTTTCTGGGCATCGAACCTTTTGGGCAGTGGGTGTGTGCAACCAATGAATCCTACTGATTCTGCCTTTAAAGTCTGATTATATTCTACATTTATTGATACTATAGTCAGTCATTGTTGTGCAAAACATATTAAAAACTCACCAGTGATCCAGACTGTTGAATGTTTGTTCATTGTGATGGACACTGTACTTTATTATTAAGTGAGTGAGAACACTGAACTATAATCAGAAATCAGCTTTATTGGCCCAGTTTGTGTACACATACAAGAAATTTGACTCGTTTTAAGTTGACTACACACACACACACACACACACACACACACACACGCACACACGCACACACACACACACACACACACACACACACACAAACACACACACACACACACCTCTGTACAGAATTAGCACCCATTGCTCCACATAAAGCCGTAATTAAAAATCTGGCTCTCTTTCTCCTCCTCCTCGTCCTCGTCCTCGGTTTCATCTGCTCATACATTTTCTGGTTTCCACTGCACATAAAATAAAACTGTAAACACTAAGTTCAGCGGCGTCTATGTCCGTGTGCGCGTGTGTGTGATGTTGTGTGACGTGTTATTGTTATTCTGCGCAGATATGAGCAATAAAAGTGTGAACGTAACTCTAACACACAGTTCCAAGAACCCATTTCAGAAAGATAGACATAGACGTTCACCTAAAAACATGAACAAAAAAGACATTTAACTATGATGTAAATACAAGAAGCTGAACAAAAATAGATCTTTAACTATATTTATGCACATAAAAGTGACAACAACATATAATGTCTATGTACAAGTCAAAGCCTGTTCTGTAAATTGTAAACGAGAATTCAAAAAGTGTTGAAATAAATGTTGAATATGTTGATTTATATGCATGAAGTACGTGGTAATGTACAGGATATACAGCATGCTTGGATTTATATATGATTGTGTGTTAAAAAGAAATATTCAGATCACACAGAAAATACTTAAATATTACATAAGATAAGTACCACCGGCAACATTAGTAAAAGTACTCGACTGTTTAAGGTGGAGATAATTTGAACTGCTTTATTTACTGTTTGGGAGTTTAATCTACAGCAATGTATAATATCCTATAAGAGTAAAAACACAGACAAATGTTGTGGAGTAAAAACTAAATCTGCTTCTGAAATTTAACTGGAAATACTCAGAGTACAAGTATCTTGAATCTGTACTTGAGTAAATGTACTTTCTAAATTACTTGGGTGACCAAGTGTCCCACTTTATGTGGGACTTCACAGCATTTTTATCCCTCGTCCCACATATTGAGAAGTTTTTAAAGTCCAATCAGTGCAGGACAGACACTTACACCTAATGGCTGTGAAGAGAGCAGTTATCAAAGGTTGTGTTTGATGTTATTCTCACCAACTGCAGGTTGTCAGTGTCTTTAATACGTTACAGCTGACGGGGAAAATAACGAGTCACCACAAAGTCACAAGTTACGCAGATTTAAGTGGAATATGATGGAAACTACCACAAAGAAAAAGCAGCTACAACAAAGACTGAGAAACGACTTATAATCATATAATAAAGACCATAATAACAACTGTGAGACGTGCAGTTTCATTCAAATACAATATAATGAAGACCTTCACATACTAAAGACCTCACCTATAACCTTTACAGTCTACTGTGTGGTGCTGAGATGTTACGAGTTGAAGGGGCAGAAGTTGCCTCTCAGTATGAGTAACGCTGTTACAGTTAGTTACAGTGTGTATTTAAACTAAAATATAAAATGTGTAACTTGTAGGTAAAGAACTAAAGGATGCTGAACTAAATGTTTTTGTGCAGATATTTATATGTACCTGTAGTCGGTGGATGTGGCCGTGTATATACAGTATATATAATATGCACAGATGTGTTTTTAGTGATGATATTTATGTTTTAAATAGAAAACTGAAACTGTGTATGTTTTAGAGTTGGGAGGGTTACTTTAAAAATGTAATCTGATACAGTTACTAATTATAGCTGTTAAAACATGTAGTCAGTAACCTAATCCAGGTATCAGAATATTAAAGTAATGTAACTTGATTATTTTCTGTTACTTTTGGATTTACTTCAACACCAAATATGTAGATTAAAACGAGAGAGAAGAAATATTAATAAGAATTACTGATGTAAAAGTATAAAACAACAGAACAACCTGACCGTTGAAAATAAAATAGAAACGGAACAAAAACGTTTCTCAGTGTATTTTTAAAGAAAAACTGATCCAGCTAAATACTAAATGTAACTGTAATCTGATTATGTCTTTTTCTTCTGTAGCTGTAATGGATTACAGTTACCTTTGTTTTGTATCCTGATTAAATAACTTGTAATCCATAACTACCCGACACTGAAGAAGCCAATCAACCATTAAGTTTTAAAGAATTACTAACACTAAAACATACGATGTACCTGTTAAAAAATACTGAATTTACTAAATGTAACTGTAATATGATAATTACAGTTACCTTTGTTTTGTATCCTGATTAAATAACCCAATTACATGTAATCTATTACTGCCCAAGCCTGGTTGTGAAACTGTGAAAAAGCCAATCAATCATTCAGTTTTACTAAATACTTACTTTTTCTGTAATTGTAATGGATTACAGTTACCTTTTTCCATTACCTTTTTTATTGTATCCTATTTACACAACTCAGTTACATGTAATTTGTCACTCCCTAACACTAAAGAAGCGAATCAATCATTTTAGTTTCAAAGAATTAGTAAAAATGTTATTTAAAAAAGTACATTTGATATTTTATACTAAATTTACTAAATGTAACATGTTGATGTATTTTATTCAGTAACTTTTATAGTATCCTGATTACAGTTATATGTAATAAGCCTGGTTTCACTGTTAATAAAGGTCTCTGAACGAGCAACTGTCTTCTCCAGAGTTTCACAACCGAAATCAACTCAATTGTAATTTTAATAACACTCAACCAAATGAAATCAACGTCGGGTTTTATTTTGAAAACCCGACGCCGGAAGTGAACCGTTAACGTCGTTCGACCGTTGACGCTGGTGTTTGAAGACTCGTCCAGCTCGCCTGCATTCCTCCTCTCTCTAAAGCCTGACCGATAGAGACAGAGGAAAGAAAAGAGGGGGGAAGAAAGAAAAAAATAAAAAAAAAACACCAATTATTATTCACAACCGTGTTGGATTTCTATGAACCGACTTCACAACCGGGAGCAGATAAAAAAACCTACCAAAAAACCCCCAAAAAACAGAAAAAACAAACCACGTCGAGGACTGCTCCTTTCGGACCTACAATAACGACACTAAAAATGGCGTGTTTTTCTTTTTATAAAGACGGGAGCTAACGTCGCGGTGCCGGGTGTAGGTCAGCTAGAGAGACGCAGCTTTCAGTGAAACAGCCTTTCCACGACGGATATCTCCTTTTTTTTAATTTCTTTTTCTTTTTTTCTAAATGAGGATTTTGCAAGATGGCTGATGACAGCTACCCCTAACAAGGACAGAAAAAAGCGACGTCCCCTTTAAGATTATCAGGGTATATAAATATATATATATATATTTCTATTAGTTTTAAAATCTATAAATCATGGCTGCTTTTTAAAGATAATGACTGTAGCTTGTGTTAGCAGCCACTGGGAGGGGAAAAAATAATTGTTTTTTTTTATTATTTGTTTTTATTTTTAATCTGCACCTGGGTAGAAAATGGTGAGGTGACGTCTGAAGGTAATTTACACGATTTTTAATCCAGATAAGGAAGTGAGGAAGAATATGTTGTTGGCTAAAGGTTGAGGCGACAATAAGGTGGAGAGCAAAGTAAGTGAAGGGGGGGGAGAAGAATATATATATATATATATCTATATATATATATATATATTAAAAAAAGAGGCCACAGCTGGATATAAATACTAGTAATAATCTGTGTGTCAGGAGATATTTGATAGAAAAGAGGCTCTGCAAACAGCAGCCAACATTCCTGCGGATCCTAAAACCCTTTGTTTTGTGCGCAGGAGCTGGACTCGACTATTAAAACGATTAACTATGCAGTAAACAGGCTGGTAGATGATGGCCCGGGTATGATTTTCTATTTAATGAGATTATAAAGGGGGGCTTTTTGTTGTCGAGAAAACTGGTTAACAAAAAAAAAAAAAAAAAAATAGGGGGAGGAAAAATAAGAATAAGACGAGGCCTTGTGTACAGAAATGCGAAGCCACATTGATCAGATAGAAAGGAGGTTTTTTTGAAGGGCTGCAGGTGACTGTGGTGTTTTTTAATCTGACCTGTGAAACTGCATTTGTCGTCCACTGCCGTCGTTGTATGTATGTATAATTAAATTGCAGGTGGAGGCTCCTCGGATACTTATTTATGATTCAGCGGACAAAAGCATTGCGCTGTGATTATTGAGGTGGTGTGGTTGGGGGGGGGATTCAAGCGTCCTTGAGGTCCTGATAAAAACAGATTCAGGGGTTTTTAAAAAGCTTAGTGTGTATGTGTGTGTGTGTGTGTGTCTGTGTGTGTGAATAGTAATCAGGGTGTGGACTGGAGCTGTCCCCCCTTTTTTTTTCCTCTTCTCGTTGGTTTTGTTGGTCTGAATTGGTCCCACAGTCAATCATAATCCGACGTTGAAGTGAAGGGAAGCTCTCAAAGGTAAGGGCCCGAAGCAGGCTGCATTAAAGGGGGTGGTGGGTGGGGGGGAGAGAGAGAGAGAGAGAGAGATATCAAGTGTCTTTTCATGTGCTATACAGAGATTGATTCACGATATCATGGGAGTAAATTGTTTAGATGTTTAGTTCTTCTGTGCCTTGTTTGCATTTCACGGTTTACCTGTAGCTGACAGGCTTTTTTAGCTTCCTGTAGGCCTATAAACACACACAGAAGCTGTAAAGGCAGGCCCACTGTGTGTATGTGTGTGTGTGTGATTAAAGAGGAAAGGAAAGCACCGTTTACTGTAATCTGTATAACGTCAGCCCCTGCTGTGTATGTGTGTGTGTGTTGAAATCACCAAGGTGTTGTCATCCTCGCCTGAAGCCTTCTCTGGTCAATTTTTTCTGGAATTTGCCTTCATGCTGCAGCAATAAGCAATACTCGGCCGTCTGTCAGGGAGACTCGTCTAATTTGGTTCACAAGGGTTGAAGTATACGGACTGATCTTTTGTTTCTTAAGGACGACACCGGCTCTGGTTTTAAAATCTTTTTCTCAAGACTCATTTAAAAGTAAAAACAAGGGTCAGGTTTCCTTTTTTTTTCCGAGGCCTAGAGGTTTGGTCAAAAGTGGAAAACCGTTAGTGTATGCCTGCCCGCACCATGATGGCCTCTGACATGGCTGAGACGTGGAGGAACTGTTTTGAGGAGGAGCTCATCTGCCCCATCTGCCTGCACGTGTTCTCAGATCCCATCCAGCTGCCCTGCAAGCACAACTTCTGCCGGGGCTGCATCAGCGAGGCCTGGGCCAAAGACTCCTCGCTGGCCCGCTGCCCCGAGTGCAATCATGCTTACACACAGAAGCCCAGCCTGGAGAAGAACCACAAACTGTCCAACATAGTCGAGAAGTACAACGCCCTGAGCGTGGAGAAGCCCACGACGCCGGCGCTGCAGTGCATCCTGTGCCGCCGAGGCCCGCCGCTCCCCGCAGTCAAAGTCTGCCTGCGCTGCAACGCCCCGTGCTGCCAGTCCCACGTCCAGACGCACCTGCAGCAGCCGTGCTCGGCCCTCGGTCACCTGTTGGTGGAGGCCGAGGCGGTGAAGGCCTGGACCTGCCTGCAGCACGACGAGTACAGGCTGTACCACTGCGAGGCCGAGCAGACGGCGGTGTGTCAGTACTGCTGCTTCGCCCGCTGTCACCCCAGCCACGGACACGCTGTCACCGACGTGGAGCTGCGACGCAACGACATCAGAGTAAGGAGAATTTTCTATACCACACACACACACGCATTCAAACTAACTTATTTATTCTTCTCCTCAGGGCGAAGTCGCACTGTTCACACTGTGACAGAAACAAAATCACAGCCGATAGTTTGACCTCATCGTCGAGGAAGTCATCGCCGTAACCTCGCATGTAGAGCTGAAACGATTAGTCGATCAACAGAAGGTCAAACTGCAAGTATTTAGATAATCGATTTAATGGTTTAAGCAAAAGAATCTGAGGTTCCAGCCTCTCAAATGTGAGTAATATCTTCAGTAACAGCTTTTAGGTTTTGGACTGTTGCTCCTCACCTTGAGCTCTAGCTCTAAATAGATTAATAGATAATAAATAGTTATTAGGCCCCCCTTCTGTGTTGCTCAAGTACCAAAACGTAGCTTTAATAACAGCATCACACAAACCAGCGGAGGTCATTTTTCATCCACTTTGTCCTCCTCAAGCAAACATCAGCAGAACAAAGGGGCATATTTCACTAAAAGTCCATCAAGCACTCGATCGTTTACGTATTTATTGAATCACTTTACTCAATCAAAAACCAAATTTCCCCCATTTTTAAGAAACAATTTGCGCCTGTGTAAGAGTCTTGTGCATTTTCCCGTTGTGATCCACTCCAGCCTCCATTCTCATCTGTTGGAATGACAAACAATGCAGCTGAGGGTGGAACAATGAGGGGCCCTCAGAGGGCCTTATCTCCCCAGCACAGGTGCATCCTAGCTCAGGGATCGCCAGTTGTGAGCAGGAGGGAGGAGAGGGGGTTGGTGGGTGGGTGGGAGTGGAGACAAGGGGAAGGGGGATTATAGTGATTTGTCACTTGATTCTGTGGTCTACTTAAGGTTTTTTTATTAACCTCTTCCTTTCCGGGGGTCGGATTGGTTTTCCTCCCCTGTTTTTTTCAGTTTTTTAAAGGGGTGAGTGTGACAGCGCGGTTTAGTCAGAGGGAGAACCACGAAGGCTTCACTGCTGACTGACTCATTTAGCTCACCCTACACCCTGTTTTAGGTGTCAACCGTGTCATGCTTGGGTGTATTTCCTGTTGGTAATGCTATGACTCAGCTTTATGTATAGTTAATCGGTTGCCTGGGGCACGGGAGAGGCCATCGGGTGGGACCTGGTCTGAATTTAAAAGCTGTATTAGCAAAATCCTTCACATTTACAGCTTTTCCTACATTATCCATAATCACGCTGGGTGAGAAGAACCAGATTAATTCTGTTTTTGACCCAGATATCAATATTTATCTGTAAAAATATGATCTAATATCAGCCAATGTTCCTTTTTTTTTACTGTCTCTTAAATATACAAACAGTTGTGAGCGAGATATGTGTTGAGACATGTTAGAGTTAAAAACTGGTGGGCGAGCTTTGTAATGACATTAGGCCGTTACGTTAAGAGTTACTGGACGTGGCATCAGTAATATTAGTTGACCTATATCAATAGTGCCGTTGTGTTTACATGCGTGTTTGTTTACATGAGTGTTGACAATATGATGCTAGAATAAACAGCACTCACACAACCTTCATGAGCCTTGGGCGCAAGCGTTTAAGTGTGTTTTCACGATGCTAAAACTATTTTAAAGACACGTTTCAATGTCTCACAGGTATATAAATATAGATACAGATATATAAATCACCATTACATCGTCACACATCCTCAGAATAATGAATAAAAGTTTGGCTGCATGTGAACAGGCTGATGTTAAACGATTATAATGTTGATTGTTGATGTTGACTAATGCAGCTCTAGTCAAAAGTGTTTATGTTATATGGTTATTGTAGTGTTTTTTATTCTCAATCATATATTGTTTTCAGCCTCAGAGATCCCGTATCTGTCGAGTTATAACACTGGTACACATTCTGCATTTCTCTGCTGCAACGTATCGAATGAAACATCCATAAATGCTGATAAATGCTGATGTATCCGCTGGAGCTAGACCAGGGCAGCAAACGCTATGTGTTTTAATGAGTGTGGTTATTGTTAAGGCCATCCTCTACTAAATAATTGATCACAAGACAAGATATGACACAGCCTAACCACCTCTGCACAACGATTTCCTGGAGGAAGCCGTGGACGTAGAAACCAGACAAAGAATAAGATGATTATATTGTGATTTTTCAGCCTTATAATCCATAAACATATTTTTAGGTACGTGTCCTCGTGGTAGTGATTACTAAGACATCCTCCATGTTGAATTGCAATCAAGGAATGCAGAGTGGACCCCCTGACTCTCTCCACACACACACACCCTACAGCGACTCCCCCTTCTTCACGTCCACCCCCCCCAAATTCACCTCACACCATCCACCAGCCACTCCAGGCGAGTGCCGACCTTCCCTCCGGCTCTGCTCTCCTGCTCTGGTGGCTCTGATGGAGAAGACACTGTGGTGAAATGACAGCTTAAGAGCACCCTCCCCTCTTTATACCCCACCCACACCCCCTTCCTCTCTCTCTCTCTCTCTCTCTCTCCCTCCCCCCAAAGGTATCCCATACATTTAGTTGCCACCCCCCTCTGGGACGCCTCGGCTCCTTCGACCCTGTTTTTCCCCTGGCTGCTGCTCAGAGCCTAACTCAATCAATCAGCACAACCAGGTCACAGTCCTGGATCTAACCATGCCGAGTGTGTGTGTGTGTGTGTGTGTGTGTGTGTGTGTGTGTGTGTGTGTGTGTGTGTGTGTGTGTGTGTGTGTGTGTGTGTGTGTGTGAGGGAGATATCTAGGGCAATGGTTCCCAACCATGTGCCACAGAGGCCCAGGAGTATGCAGGTTTCATTCCTATCGAGCTCTACAGCAGCTGATCACTTACGATAAAGTCAGCCGCTGTTTTGTTGGAACGATTGGAGAGATGATGATGATGATGATGATGATGATGATGATGATGATGATGAGGCATGTGGAAAACAGATTATTGACTTGCGGGATTAATTACAGATTCAATCCTCTTTTTTTTTTTTTAAACCAAAAAATGAAATGAAATTAAAATGAATTAAATATGTAAACAACTCTTGAATGAATCAGCATGTAATTGTTCAACTTATTTATTATTTATTAACTTAATAACCGTTAAATCTTCTTCTTGCAGCATCATTGATTCACTGTTTAAGGAATTTTGAAGCAAAAATGTTAAAATATTTGCTGGTTTCAGCTTCTAAAATCTGATAATTCGATTTTATTTGTCCATCAGTTTAATATCTTTAAGATTTTAGACTGTTAGTTGGTCAAAACGAGGATTTTAAAGACGTCAGTTGGGCTCAACGTTGTATAAAGACTAAAAACGAACTGATTAATCATTAATGTAAATAATTCGAATGATATTCCCGTCAGCCTCAGTTATTTCTGGTGCTAATTCGTAGCTCTAATTAGCTAAGTGTTAGCATGCAGACGTTAGCATTTAGCTCTTCTGGCCCTGAGCTGAGTCTCGTCGTGTGAATCTGGATCATACACATCGGCTTCACCACATTATTTAGCTCCGTACCGTCTGATCAACGAGCGTCTCATTCATTAAATGTTGATTGAGGATTATTCATATCTCACATTAAATATTAACAACATGAAGGATTAGTAAATCTGTGTCAGTGACGTTCCTCTGAGACGTACCGGATAGTTGATCCCGCACGGCGCCGTTAATTATGGTTTTTTATTTTATTTATTTGGACTGCGAGCTGAAGCCGGACGGGCATTTGGCCCGAGCGTGCGTCCGCTGTTGTTCACATTCAATCGTCGTCCTAGAAAATAACAAGTGTTGCCACGACGTTGCCACAGAAGTGCAGAAGAGGAGGTGCACTGGAGGAGGAGAGAGGAGGAGAGAGGAGAGAGGAGGAGAGCTGCTGGAGCCTGTTTATTTATCTCTGCTCGCTGCCCCCCAGCTCCCCCCAACATTAGTCCTCACTCACTAATGCAAACACAAAATAGCTGTTGGTTGCTATGACAGCACACCCTCCCTCCTCCCCCACAGGGATTGTGTGTTGGATGGAGACTAAATTAGCCGGCTCCCGGATCCTAATATCTCCTCATGGGGAGGGGATGCTAACGCTCAGCTGAGGTCACAACTTCCCAAAGCTTAATACTTTTCTTTCTTTCTTTCCCGTCTCCCTTTTCTACCCTCACAGCAAAGCCTACTGAGGCAGCAGGAGCGCGTGGAGGAACGAGTGCAGGAGATCGAAGAGCAGCTCTGCAAACTGGACTCTGACAAGTGTGTGGTGGAGGTACGTGTCCGCTCGCCGCACATTTGTTTTAAAGAGATTCTGCGCGGTTGTTGCGTAATACAAAAGGACGTTTTCAAGCGGTTTGATGTTTGTCTGCTCTACAGGACAGAGTCTGCGAGCTGAAGGAGGAGGTGCGTCTGCAGTACCAGCGGATGCACCAGCTCCTGGAGGAGGATCTCGGTCGGACACTGGAGGCTCTGGACCGGGCTCAGGCTCGGTTCTGCCAGGAGAACGCCGCCCAGGTTTTGGCTCTGGGGGAGCAGCGCCACGAGGCCCAGAAGCTGCTGAGCTCCATCCACACGGCCTTCAGTAAGGCAGAGGAACTGAGCTTCATGAAAAACACCAAGCCGGTTAAAATCCTCACAGACAGGTGAGAGGAAAAGTTGTCGGATTTTATAAAATGGACGTTTCTCCTTTTTTTTTTTTCGCCCCCGTGGGTCTGACGTCTTATCTTGAATGTCTCTTGGCACTTGTTGCAGGTCTCAGGCATGTGTGGGCAGCAGTCTCCCTCCTTATAAAGTGGGGAATCTAAACTCTAAACTATTCCTCTCTGAAATCTCAAAGAGAGAGAAGAGCTTGAAGAGAACGCTGGAAGGTAAAGATCCCTCAAAACACGTTTATCAGGTTTTTAATCCCGAACATTTACAGACAGGAATGTGTTTTTATTTCAATTAACACTTATCTCCTCTTATTTCCCACCTTTTTCCTCTCCCCCCCTTCTCTCTCTCTCTCTCTCTCTCTCTCTCTCCCCCTCTCTCTCCCCCCCTCTCTCTCCCCCCCTCTCTCTCTCTCAGCTCCCCTCACACCTCCCTCGACCTTCCTGCAGTCTGTTCCTGCGTATCCCAGCGGTCAGAGCTCCGGCTCCGGCGCGGAGAAACGGAAACATTCCACTGCCTTCCCAGAGGGGAACGGGAACGTCGGAAAAAACGCCGCTCCCGGTTTCAAGGACTCTTCTTCCTCTTCCTCATCTTCTTCTTCGTCGTTAGCCAAACAGCCCTACCTGGGCTCCGGCTCTGCCTCTGGAGAAGGCCAGTCTACCAATCAGCAGCCTCTCGGCCCCTGCGGCCCACCTCACATCGGCGAGAGCGGCGGGACGGGAAGCGGAAGCGGCTCTCTGACCAACCACCATTCGGGCTCCGTGTTCGGCTCCTCGCACTTTCCTCCCGGAGGCAGCGGCGCCTCGCACTCCTCCCAGCAGGCCGTGCTGCCTCAATACGGCGGCCGTAAGATCCTGGTGTGCACGATGGATAACTGCTACTGCTCCGGAGTGCCGTCGGTGTCGGGCCACCGCAGCCACCCGCCGTACCCGCGCTCTGGCTCTTTCCCCTGGGTCAGCGCCCAAGACTACCCCCCTCCTCCGGGCCTGGCCTCTGGAGGTCCGTCCATGCAGGGCTTGGCAGTGAGGGACTGGATAGACGCCTCACAGACACACAGACATGCAGATTTTTACGGGCTGTATGGGCAGCCCTCTACAAAGCACTATGTCACCAGTTAACAGAGTAGACACACACACACACACACACACACACACACACACACACACACACCTGGATATAGAGACAGGCACCAATAGCACACCTTTACCGTCATATTAACCGGAAAAAAAACACCATGCAGTTATACTATACACACATTAAAATATTTAAATTTATATCCACACACACACACACACACACACACACACACACACACACAGATCTAGAACATGTATACACATTCGGGGGCAGGGTTTGATCTCTTTGTGTTTTTTATTTCCGTTTTATTTCCTTTTTATTTCTCTCTCTCATGTAGTGTAACTATAATGCAGCCGCTCACTCTGGCACAACTTAGCTCAGCGTTTGTTTGTTTGTTGATTTTTTTACACATAAACAAGAAATGAGAGAGGCCTAAGAGGAGAGTGTGACATGCATCTGTTTTTATTTATAGGGGTTAGGAGACGGATTGATAGAAAAATGAACTTTTATTAGGAAATCTTCTCGTGGCGTCTTTCACGGCTTTCTTACTGACGCTGAAGGGAAAAGAGACCGAGCAGTGTTGACCTTTCCAGTTTAGCGCCTCATGTTTTCTCTGATATAATCACCCCTCCAGTTGTACTGAGGTCAGTTGCCTTATGTTATTAGCATCATATTTCTCTCTGCCCAGCTCAGTTTGATAGATTTCCCCCCCCATCATTGTCTCTTTTTGATTTATTTTATTTTTATTTTTAAGTCGTCGTGGCACCTCTTCCTTTCTTTGCTGAGTTCAGGGATGGATCGTACGGCTTGAACACAAAACGCTCTTCCATGGAACACCCACAATGCACTTGTGGACTGCCTTGTAATGCCTGGACTACAGATGCCGACCCCCCCCACCAATAGAGCTGCATCTGAAGGGGCCGGTCGACCCTGGAGTTTTGGGAATTTTGGCTTATTCCTAGCACTCCCTTCCTGCTTCCCAGGCTTCCCACAGGACAGAAAAAAAACCCGTGTTCTGACAAAGACTGTTTCATTTAGTTATTCCTATGACTTTGTGTTATTTGGTACATCTGTAGGTTTCACGCTTGTCTAGAGAGACTCTTTGATTTTAGAGAAAAAGGCGAGACTGGACGAGAACCAAACGAATCGAGCATCTGGAGGATCTGATGATGCTGTAATTGTACTTCCTGCAGGGCAAAGATGTCACTTCCTCTCAATAAGCACACAAGCTCTCGGCTTCCTGTTTGCTGCTGAAAGCATGCAAGGAAGAGTTTTTTTTAAAAAGCACTCAAAAGAAGAACAATAAGGGGGGATTAAAAATGTATGCAGTTTTAAAAACAAAAAAAAAATGGAAAAAAAATGAGTGTATGAAAGAAAAAAGACGGCGGGAGGAATTTTTTTCATGAACTTTTTCTAAAAGAAAAGACTGGACTGCGAGGTGTAAGCAACTGTCATCATCCTAAAACGCGGCTGTTGTGACGGTCGTAACGTAAAGATGAGAAAAAAAACAACATAAAAGTATCTTTTTTTGTAAATATTTTGTGAAATGGAAAAATTACAGACGTGATTTGGAGGTGGATTCCAAATAAACGAACAAATTTAAAAACCCGTCTCTGCTGTCAACTCTGTACGTGTAAAAGTTTTATTTAAAGGATTAATGGATCAAAACAATCACAGTACTTCTCCACTCCTGTACCCTGTTGAAGACGTGTGAATATATAATGTCAGTAATTTCCTAAAACAACAATATTGTCTGTTGTTTGAAGGATTGATTGTAATAATATTGGTGATCCTTTAACTGTTCGTGTACCCAAACACTGCTGCACTGTGTTTGGAGAGGTAGAAGTTGGTACATTATCACAGTACCAGGCTGCTCCGATCAATATTTATTATCTGTATCAGAAACATAACGTCACAAGTTATTGAGTTTCTGACTTCTAAATAGTGTTTATGTCCACATAAAAGTCTTAATTACAACTGGGAAACAAACCAAAAAGCCAAACAAAGTCTGTTGTTTAATGTAAATACAGTGTTTTATTATATAATACATTAATTAATATGAGACTCTTACACACAAATACGTCACATTAATCAATTAAATCTGGTTTTGGTTTATTGGGGTTTATTGAAAATAAGAAAAATAAAGAATCTCAGCACTCGTCCATCCATTACCTGTAATTATATTAAAGATTATAGATTATATTTAATCCTCTGGAAGGTGGCGAGAGGCAGAGTCCTCCCTGGGCGGCTCACACCTTGGTTCAATCTCTCACGTATGTACAATCACACATCTTACAGTCATCTGCACGCTCTTCATATGACTTTAAGAACAAACAAACGTCCTCCCACTCGTCCTTAAAACGTCGCACAATCTCTGCCGCTCACTCTGTAACATCTATAATCTGCCTCAACCTGACAGTTCGGGTATCAATGTGGTTATTGATCTCAAAGGAGACGTCGACTGAAGTTTAAAAACCAAACCAGAAAAAACTTTAAACATCTTTTGTGTCCACGCAGGGCTCATGAGTGTGTGTGTGGGTGGAGGCCTGCAGAGAGAAAACAGGATGGAGAGAGCGAGTCTTGATATGAGTAGTCAGTGTGTGTGTGTGTGTGTGTGTGTGTGTGTGCGTGCGTGTGCGTGCGTGTGTGTGTGTGTGTTCCCCTCGGCCTGATTGAGCTGTTGTATTGCTGCTTTTACCCGACCCAGCACTGAGCCTCAATCCTCTTCAGACAGCAGGGATGATCCACGAAGGGATCACTCAGGCACAGACTGTGTGTGAACAGGGAATGGACATATAACAACAAACTATGTTAACACTTTATATTTATATTATATAAGTAAGCAAAAACTGTGATAATAACTATTTAAAAAAAACTGAGCAAAGCATTTTAGTTATAAACAAGACTGACTTTAAAATGAGGAACATATTCTGAGATAGAAAGACTTAAAGATATAATAATGCAACATTTCCTCATTAAAATGTCTATAAACACGTATTTATGTTATATAGTTTGTTAAATTGTGTATTTACATTATACAAAATGTTTCCAACAACCTCAAACTTAGAGAAATCTGTTATTTTATTCAGGTAACAGTTTTTTTATCCAGTTTTAAGCCACACTTTTTAAGATACACTTTTTTTTTAAGATCTTGGTCATGTTAGCAGCAGCCGAACACCGAACAGCGTCAGAGAAACACAGATGTTAAAGGTGAAACTGCTTAATTATGTGTTTTTTTGCAGGTTTTTTAATTCCAATTTGACTGCAGCGACAACAATGGTGGTGAAGACAACAACTCCCATGATCCCTCACTACTTCACAACGTCTCAACTCAAGCTAACTGGCTGCTGGCTGTAACTTTATATTTACCAGACAAACACACAGAAGTATAAATCTTCTCCTTTAATGGGGCTTGTGGTGCGGTCAGAGGTCAGTAATCAACCTTCAGTCTCAACCTTTAGTGCTAACGTGGACTCACTGTTCTCCACCTGCAGAAGAAGACCATGTGATGCAACTGAAAGCTCATAAACAGCTGCTAAATGAGCCCCGCTGTGAGATTATTCAGTCAACAACTGTTTCTCAAAGTCAAGAAAAGAACTTTCCAAGTGTTTTTCAAAGGTTTTGGATTCATTCACGAGTGTCAGTTTCGAGTCTCTGAACGCCATCTCTTTCCTTCAGACGTCAATCCGTGGTTAACTAACACGTAAAAACCAAACATTATAATCATATTGCATCTTCTTGCTCCACCCTCGTCTTACTCCCACCTCTTTCCTCTCTCTCTCACACTCTCTCTCTCTCTCTCTCTCTCTTTTATATTTTTTCTCACGTCAGCAAACCTCAGCAGAGATACAGGCAGCCAAGAGCTGTGGGGTCGGAGGTGCAGCATAAATTACAGCACTGACACACACTAACAAACACCCCCCACCCTCTCTCTTCTCTCTCTCTCTCTCTCTCTCTCTCTCTTTCTCTCTCTCTCTCTCTCTCTCTCTCTCACTCTCTCTCTCTTTCTCTCTCACACACATTTTCTCACACTTGCGCCACACAGCTGCTGCACAGCTGTCTGATCCACGAGGAGAGAGAAAAGGCAGTAATTCGGTCGCCTACGTCTCTGATATGTATCTCTGACACACACACACACACACACACACACACACACACACACACACACACACACACACACTGTCTGGCTCCTTTAAAGTACCCACACACTCAGACACTGCGACAGGGGGGGGAGCTTTTATTCACTTATGAAACAACCACAGAACTTTTTGTTGTCTCATTTACAGCTTTCAAAAACACACAAAAAAAACTACATAAAAGAAAAAAAAGAATTATTATCCTCAAAGCTTTAATCTATTATAGGAACAGTTTTAACATTTTGGAAAATATGCTTTATGTGCTTTCATGCTGAGAGTTGGAGGAGAAGACCGACACCACTCTTTCTGTCTGTATGGTGAATACAGCTGGTTAGCTTAGCTTAGCATAAAGACTGGAAACAGGGGGAAACTGCTAGCCTGGCTCTGCCTGTACCAGCAAACCTCTAAAGCTGGTAATTAAGTTAAAGCTTGTTAATCCGTGCAAGAACCAAAGTTTAAATGCACCAGTTAGATGTTTTATGGGGGGGAAGCAGTTGCCAGGCAACCGCCAGAGACTCCTGGAAGTTAAATGAAACATTTCCAGGACAACATTGATTATTTCCAGGATATTTGCTCATTTAAATCAATTTCCAAGTGTTTTCCACGACTGGAAATCTCGTCGTCTTAACCCATCCAGGTTTTTTTTTTCTTCCAGTTTGTGTGGGAACCCGGATGATACTGTATTTTCCATCGGTGCTTGAGAATTTAAGAGCCAGAAACGAGGAACAATACGAGCACACTCTGTCTGTGTGAGAGGAGACGAAGACCGGACAATGAGAATCTTTGTGAAAGAAGAAAAGAAGAGGCTGTTTGCAAGTCTCTGAGGCCCCCCTGACTCAGTCACGTACAATGTTACGCAAAGTAAAACACACAGCATACTGTTCCTACAGCGGGAACACGCTGTCGGACACCTCCAAACGTCTTCTTCTGGGCAATTATTAATGACCTGAATGTAGTTTGGAGCTCGGTTATAAAGCCTCTAGGTGACACAGACGACTTCATGCTGCCTCTAGAAGCTTTAAAATGAAAGTTTCAGTACAGTTACGAGGTTAGTAGGAGCCTCAATGCTACAAATCCATGTTTTACATCATATATTAATATATTTATATGTATCAGAGGATCACTCATGTCATTGATTTTGTCCTCTGGGGCCACGAATATCATCACAATCCTGCTATCTTTGCTCCAAACTACCAACCGATGCATTCAGGGATCATTTATTCTGAGATGTGTCACTTCCAGTCAGTTTTGAAAGCGATCCACCCTCTGAATCCACTTCCTGAATGTGTACAGACTCACCAAGGGTGTCATTCAGTGTCATTATAATCATGTGCATTAGCCTGATTTCGTTGCTCCTGAAGCTCCTGATGTTCCTGATTCAGACAAACGTTTCTGTTCAGCAACTTTCAGGTAGCTTATACAAAGAAGTACTGATAATCAGGTTGATCATGCATATAAAATATAGCTCATGAGTCTGACCACAAACAGAGAACAATAACTAGAGTCACATCGAAGTGTTTCGCCGACAGGGATCTCCCAGCTTTTGCCTGAATAAGCAATAAATGGATCCAAGCCAGCTCCTGACTGCGCAGGAAGGTGATCAGACCACTGCTCACGAGGGGGGCTCTCGCTGTCCGACCACACAAAAACCTGTGATAAAAAGCCAAAAGCAGCACAGATCTCAATCCAGTCTGAGCTGGATGCTGCCTCCACGGGAGACGCACATGCATCGAATTAACCACAGAAGTTGCACATCAGATTTCTGAGATATGACAGCACAAAGGTGGAGGCGGTTTATGGAGGAATTCAGGTCTTTTACTGAAGTTAAAGGAGCTGAATTTGAGTATAAGTAGAGGTTTGTGTGAAGATACAACTATGTTATTATCTTGTGTAACAGGATAAAGATATTTCAGGACTTCCTGTCAGTTTTGCTGCTGGACAAGTTACCTCTTTATTATTTGGGTGAGTTGATGTAATTCCCAGCATAACTCTAACCTGAGCAGCCACATAACTGACTAACACCTGTGTGGGAACACACTGGGTGAAGTAATCCATCATATTTTATGAGCCGATCGTGTGTTTTCCTGTGTAAAAATCAATCAGCTGTGGGATAAAACGCGGTAGAGTGGAAGTATAAAGTCACCTAAACTGAGAAGAGGAGTTACAGGCTGTCTTCAACCCTCGCACCCCTCCATCATACAGGTATGCAGGCGGTTTCATGTGTACTTGCAGCCCTCCTTCGTGCCCCCCGGAGGTGGATTAGGTTTGTGCATTCCAGGTAGTTTGTCGGTTCAGCTGGGGGAGAAGATCCAAACTGCGCAGCCTCTCCTGCTCAGCCCCCCAGGCCACCACGAGGCGCTCACCCAACCAGGTGGATGCAGCACCACCTGGTTGAGAGTCTGGCCTGGTTGGAACAAACCACACTGGATTTCAGATTGAGCTCATTGCAACCGTTATTCTGCTACAACGC